GGTCAATCCAGACCATGCCTCTTTTTAGAGCATGGGGTCCTGGAACAGACACACAGATTAGTTCTCACACAGCCACATGACCAATATTCAGTATACCAGAACATCAGTGAAAATTACTTAAAAGCCATCATGACACAGCACACTTCACAGCAGAAAAATTTTCTACATTGCCTGTTGATAACTTAAGCTGGTCAGTTAAGTATGGAAGACAGGCAGGAGGAAGGGCTCCAGGTGGTTCTTCCCCTTGTGTCCTCCCTTGGTTACTTGCAGTGGGCAACAAGTAGAAGAGTTTCACATCCTGCCCAAACCTTTCCATGCTCCACCTCTAAGCAAGGAGGCAGTTAAACCATAGCATCTGATTTTATGGCAGCAGCAGGCCAAGCAACAGCTGAGTCCCAAAGACAACCACATAGAAAACAAATTGCATGAATCAGACTGAAAGCTTCATAAATATTGACCAGTTTTAATAGTCCCCTGAGAAACAGAGAATCTCATTTAACATTATGCACTCAGGGAACTGCAAGGAGGGCTGTTGTCTGGCTTATGTGAACATTATTTTAATTTCTTTTTATGGTCAAGAGTTCTGTCAGTTTGCACCAGGGTCACGAGCAGAATATCTGAGCGCCTTCCAGTGGTGCTTTGAGTAACAGGACTCAAATAGGTTCTGTTCTCTCAGGTATGCCCCAGGGTGTAATTGACACAAGGGAGAAATCATATATAAAGTGCATAAAGGAGTAGGCAGAAGAGAATGGTTTTTTGTTGTTGTTGTTTGTGTTTTTTTTTTCCACCTTCTCAGTGCTTTCTGCTTTGATTCCTATCAGATGAAGAGCATTTCAGAGAGAGGCAGAGAGATGCAATAGCAATATGGACTATCAGATGAAGAGCATTTCAGAGAGAGAGAGGCAGAGAGATGCCACAGCAATGTGGATAGAAAAGACAAGGGTGACCCAGTCCTACACCAGTAGGAAGCAGGGGCAGGGGAAGAATACCAGAGGTATTTTTTAGGAGAAGGGAGTTGAGTACAGCAAAGGGAGACAGTTGCTTGGCTATCTGAATGGATGGGGGAAGTACATGTCTGGAGAGGACATGTGCACTGTGAATCAATGGAAAGGTGTGAGCCCAGGCCAGGGAACAAGACATTTGCCACCTTTCTGAAAGCAGGTGCTCTGAGGGGAGCTCTTCTTCATTGCTTGCTATAAGCTCCTAAAACTCATCTCCTATTTACTGGGGATTTTAAGCTACAGTATGCCTCGCCCTCTTGTCCCCTCTTCATTTCCAAATTCATTTATCACTCCTCATCCTTGTCTTAGCAGTGCTCCGAGTAAGAGAGAAATAGATAAAGGGAAAATTATATCTTACTATATAGCATAAAAATCCACCTCTACCAGCTCTTGCTAACTGGTTTCAGTCAAGTCCCTCTTTGTTGCAGCAGGGCAGAGTTAAAAACATCCCATTCCCCCATTTATAAGAAGATCCTTTCTGGCCAGATCTTCCACAGCAGGTTGTTTGCTTTGGGAATCAAAAATGCACTAAAGAGAGACCATAAAAACCACAGCAAAGCCCATGGGTGCTCCTGAGGCTCATTTGAAATACATGCCACATGTTTCTGGGAAGCTCTGAAAAATAGCACAAGCGAAACAGAATTATATCCTCCCTGTCTTCAAGTCTAAGGAGGATAGCATGCAAAGTACCCTGGAAGCCTGCCACTCCAAGCTGGTTATGGGAAATTGTCCCTCCATTTCTGCTCTCAGCAGTTCAACACGGCCTCCCGCACCTTCCAGATGGCCCGAGAAGCACTTTGGCCTCTCACCTGAAGCTTACTCTGAAGCAGTACACACAGCAGATTTAGCATAAACCCAGGTTAGGCCATGTGGAAACTGCAGCTCTTCTAGGGACTGTCCTATCTTCATTAACAATACCACCTATACCAACCTTAAAAAGTCCAGTTTTTATATAAACTACTTAAGGCTTTATTGAGCTAAAGTAGCTCCTTTGAAAGAGGCACAAAGAAGAGCTCAGTACGTAAAGAGAGCTGAAGATTTTGTCAGGAAGAGCAGAATGGGGCAGTTACCTCTCAAGGGTGGAAGCGCTGAGCACAGTAACACAGGTGACAGGGCAGGGGCCTCACCAGCCAGGACCCCATCCCACAGTACCTGAGCAAGAGGATCAGGGTAGGCCAGGAGATGGCTGCTAGGTTTGACCAAAATTCCAAATCTTCAGACAAGTTTATATGATTATGCAGATCTGAGGTCAAGCTGGGAAGACAGCCTACAGACTACAACCAGGCCCAACGAGAGCAAACACGATCAGAGAAAGCCCCATGATCACCAGACAGGTTCACAGTGATGAGACAGGTCTAGGATCAAACCAGGAAATCAGCCTGCACAGCAGAGTCCATATCAGGTCCACAATGAGGCAGAACCAACCTAAAAAGCAGCATTCCCACAGCATAACCTAGGAAAGGAAAAAAGGGCCTACAGCTGAGCTTAAATGAGGCTCCTGGGCCTATGGGCAGAGGAGGTGGGTGGAGTTCCAAGGTGATGCTGATCAGGATCATTAAGGCCCACCAGTGCCCTCAGGCCCTGACACGTGCACGCACCTCTCCCGCACTCGAGAGCTGATGCAGCTGAGATTAGTGCAATAGACTAAGCTTCTCAGTTCCTCTGATCTTTAGTTTTTGGTTATCTTTGAGTTGTAAACGTAGGTGGCCAGTGGATGATGCACAAAGCATTATCACAAAGTGAAGTGATTGGGAAAATATGGTGACTGTGTTTTTTTTTAATTGAGATTAAAATACATAAAAACAATAAAACGTAGTAATTTCCCCCCGACTGGACAAATAGGATAAAAGCAAAGATCTTTTACAGGTGGGAATTTTACAAAGCCCATCACTGCAAATCATCCATTTTCATAGCTGCAACAAATGCAAAAAGTTCACAAGCGTCTGGCAGCTGGTGCCTGGCTGTGAGATATCTATTCACCCACTCACTCAGAGCGTTCCCCACGCAACATCCAGTAATCTCCCTTCTAATATGTAAAAGTAGAAGATTGTCCCTCACTTTACCCAGAGCCCTCATTTGCATAGAATGGCAACACTATATGTGCAAGTTGCTTTGGGAGTTGAACTATCCTTTCAGGGACAGGAACTCCTCTATCTATAGAAATGGACAGAACAGAAGTTGCTCTGCAGTGATTGAGAAAATCCCAACGAATAGCTCATTTTCCTGCAAATCCTGTGAATTGCCCATGGTGCATTAGTGTGGTATGGATTTCACAGAGTGGGAAGAAAAACTGGTCAGAGATTTAATGGGTTCTGCATGGACTTGTATGAGACAGGGATTCCACCATCTAAATCAATGCAAAACCAATTTCATTGCAGATCTGCAAACAGACTGGTAGGCACCTGAAGAAACATTTAAACCATTCTACACCAAGCAAAACTGTCCTTGACCTTCCTTAAGAGTTTGGTTTTGAGTCACCCTGGACTCCAGTCCAGACTTACAGAGAATGATATGACTGGAAAAGTGTCTTTGAATAGGATGCAGGTCTTTTTGTCCAAGGAGAATTTCACAGATCATGAAAAAGGAATGGGAAGTACTTCAGCTGGTGGATGATTGGTTCCCAAGACTGAAAGTAAAGTTTGTTTTATTCATATATATCTGAAGGGAAAAACTGGAATATTTCCTCAGTAGAGAAGTATTTCCTCATGGAATGACCTCATTCATTTTCATAGATACTTATTAGGAAAAAAAAAAAAAAAAAGGAATTCCCTTTTCTCTCCTGCCATATTTTTTTTACTTAAAAGAAAAGCTTTTAAAAGCAATATTAACAGGTTAGTCATTCTATAGCCAATTTAGCTCCACAGCAAGGTGTTGGAAGCACTGAGGACCAGAAGTCCAAACACAGAAATTATATGATCTTTTGAGTTAAGACGAAATGCAGGTACCATCAGATACAGTTATGTTGGCTCATCTGGCATGAGGGGTGTCGAAAAAGCACATGATGTGATTCACTAGGAGTCTATGTACATGTCAGTGCTTGGCCAAAGCGGAGTACAGATGACTCAGTTTTGCAGATCATGATTGGCATACGAAGCAAAAGTGAAGAAGAAAGTTTAGCGCTGTTATTCTTACAGCATCTCTCTTGGTGAGGTTGTAATAACATGTGAATAGCAGCTCCCTTATCTATAGAAATGGACAGGCAATAAATAGAAGCCAAACTGAGATGTCATATCCTTAGAACAGACATGGACCATATGCAGCATGCCTCAATGCTTTATTCTAACAAATCAACTAGTAAAATATGGCTGTGCAACCAGAACTGTATCTGACCATCATTATTTTTCCTTCTGGACAAGACTTGAGGTAGTTGCCCATCCTTGATGTGTTCCATATCTGCTGCCAAATCTGAACTTCCCCACTCAGACACAATCTCAAAATAGGGTGTGATGCTTTTCCTGTTGACAAAGCTGTAAGTCACTGTGAAGGAGACACACTCAATATCCTCCAATTAGTTAAATGAAAAGAGCTCTGCCCCTCTGTTTCCCACCATTTCAGCACTCATTCTATCTCATGTTAATTAATATAGGCACTAGAATGTGCGATGATAAATTACAAAACCCCATTAACCCGATTCTGTCCAAACTGGTGACGTATGGCAGGTTGTACGTTAGACAAAATCTTCCTTGCTAACGTGGGAGTCCGCATGTCTGAACATCATTAAAACAACAGCCTTGAAAAAATATTTTAATGTATCTACGTATGGAATGTATATCAATGTGCGTGGACAGTCCATGCCTGTGGGAACATCAGAATTCATTAGATTCGTCTGATACGAGATATATTGAACAGGTTCCATATGACGTCTGTTACTGGGTTGTTCTGTCCACTCCCAAAGGAGTGAATCATATTGACAGGTTGAATTATATCTCAAGAGATTTTTTTTCTCCCCCCCTTCAAAGGCCATTTACAATCACGGCACATTCACTGCCTCTTAAAAGTGAGCTCATCTGGCACTGGGTTGCACTGAAGTCCTCCACCGTGCCTGAAGGAAGATGCTTCTGGGTGGTGGGAGCATGGAGAAGATACGGTCTGTCCCGCTGTCCCTTGGAGTGCTGACCATCTTGACCATGACTGTGTATGTCCCATCTACACGTGGAGAGCCTTATTTACTACAAGGTAAGCTGGAACACAGACTGGATGTCACAGGTAGGTGATTGTTTTTTGCTTTGCTTTGCTGCTTGTCGTAGCTGGGCAACATTCACTTGTCTGTGAAAGGGAATAAAATCAACCTTCAACTATATTAAACACTCAGTTAACCTGGGTGTTACCCATAGACAACTTGCTTATATTAGCACGACCTATAGTTGTCCTTCTGGTCTAGCATTGGTTGTGTGACACATTCCATTAATCAGTAAGAAAACACCGGATCTGATGGAATATGTCTGGTAAGAGTACTGCTTTCTTTCTTGATAGAAAATTTCCAAGGAAAAATATTACAAAATTGGAGAGTAACAATCCTAGTATGTACCATATGAGATTTGACAGCTCGTAAATGTCAGTGGTTGGGTGCTGCTGAACTTTCTTTATTCAGGAAACTACTTTTTATATCTTCTTCTCCCACAATTTAAATTAATCTTAGCTTGGACTTATTCTGCAGGGAAATGTCAATCATTAATCCTCTTTCTTAGAGAGACTTGGCAGTAGAAAAAAAAATCAGAACAGCTAAATATAGGCTAGAAAATAACATGTTGCTTTTCAAATGATTTCTCCTCTTATATCACCTATTTATTTTTGTAATGACAACCAAAACATTCCTGAGGCCACTCTAGCTAAATATTGCTGCCATTTAGTTTTTCACAGAGTGTTTATATTGTTTTTTCTGTAACAAGGCCCCCAAATGACTAAAAATAGCTATTTTGAAATCATAACTGCTTTTCAAGCTTAGGACAGAGGGTCACAGCACCCCACACGAACTGCGAGTTTTGCTCCGTGTGCAGCTCTGCCGACTTCCCCCGGTTTGTTTCTCGAGATCACGATCAGGACCAGTGGCTTCAGCTGTAACATTAGGGAGTGATGAGCTAGCCAAGTACTTGGACCATCACTTTAGCCAGGACCGCTCTGCTTCCAAGGATTTATGTGGCTGTGACTAATGGGGCTGATTCCTGCACACTTTTGAGGCTCATCTATTACATTTTTTTGTCTTGTGTCTCTTTTTGTCTTCATCCCCTTACAGTTACATAGGGTAGACAGTTACACGAGACCAAATTCTTCCTACTCGCCTCCTTGAAGGGAGTGAGCAGATGTCTCAAAAATCTTGGTGGAAGAGATAAAAATGTCTTTCTGCATCATTTTCTTGCCCTACCCATGAGTTCCATGGGTGTCTTCTAAGGCCTTGTGGGTATCTTGGTTGGGGCAAGGGCATTCAGAGCAAAAGTTTTGGGAAATGGCCATTCTCCCTGCAAAGTCTGGCTCTCAGCCTGCCCCTCTCAATACTGAATTCAACATCCAAGTGTTAGATGATTCTGGAAACGTTTGGCAGAGCTAGGAGGGTCTTTGAAAGCTTTCAGGACTCTGAATAAGTCTGATCCCCCCATGCCTATTGGATACTGCTAGGACACTGATTTCACAAGCACTTTTGAGGGCATAGCCACAACCACTGGGGAGAAAACATAAAGAAAGGACTTCACAGAGAGGCCCAAATTGCTTTATGACAGCAGCCTGGGGAAGATTTTTCTGGAAAACAGGAGCTCCATACATGGCCTACAGCTACCATAAGAGGTTTTATCAGAAAAACAAAGAAACAAACAAAATTAAAAAAAAAACCACGCACACACAAAATACAATTTTAAATTCCTCCACACTTTAGCTCTGCACAGGAAGAACCCTGAAATGCCACCAGATCAGCTCCGGGCCAGACCCGCACACGGGTGGGCTATGGGGTTGCAGAGCTCCTCACTGCGCTACATGTTCCTCAGCCCCACGGGAGCTGGTCCTCACCTCTGCGGGCCTGGGAAGAGGGATGAGGAGAGTGTGGGGAGCACCCACAGCTTTGAGAAGGAAGAGAGGATCTCACACATTATTGGCTGCCTCTGCAGAGACACTGAATGCAACCGCCTGGCAGAGGGGGTCAGGACTGTCAATGCGGGTGGTGGCTCCAGCTCCCGGCAGCCGCTCAGGCCGTGAGGCTGCACTGAGACTGGCCAGCAGCCCAGAACTGCCAGGGAGAGCCGCCCCATCCCACACCCTTTCTGTGAGCAGACCTTGCTGCCTGGACATTTTATTCTACATTCACACATCTTCCACTTTCCTCAAGCTCATTCCATGCTGGGAAAGACAGGAGACATTTCACCTCTACTTCTTAGCTTTAATTTCTATATTAATGCTGGGGGATGGAGGGTCCACCCTTTCTGACACGAGGGACTGACAGAAGCATGTGTTATGTGCTGCAGAGAACCGAGTGCATCCGGAGAGAGAAGCCACAAGTCACGAGGACACCCTGTTGTCTCTGCTTCTGAACAAGAAGCTCGCATGGCGGAGACCAGAAAACATTGGTAAGTGAATGTGCTGGAGATCCCAGCTTCCTGCAGCTGTGTTCATACGAATGCGAGGAGCCTGCTCCTTACATGGTGAGCTTGCTAGCAAATACAGACTGCTCAGAAAGCGGAGAGAGTTCAGCTCCTGCGTTTCAGTGTGCTGCCTATAGCTGATTAAAAGCAGGTGTGCTGTCTCATGGGGCTACTTGGACCTGCTTTGCAATGCGATGCAAAACTGTCCAAAAATTTACAACCTAAATCCTCAGACACTCAATGCTGAGCTGCCAAGGGAGCATGTGTATATATGAGGCATGACTAATAATAAGGAGAGATGATGCTGAGCCCCTGCTCCCCTGACATCCCTGGCATAAGTGCTGAATATTAAGTTTAGGGCACAGGGCATCTTTGGGGGGGCGGGTCACCTTTCCCTCTGCACCCCCCATATAGCCATAGCGCTTTTGAGATACAACTCCATGTCAGGCTGGCATTTCTTGAGCACACAGTGGGGTGGCATTTTTGCAGATGCATAGGATGGAGAACTTGAGCCTTCCATGACACTACAATCCCAAAGTCCACTTAGATTACAGAGGTCATCTGTTCCCACGGCCACCACAGTCTGGGAAGGGTTTGGTCAATATTTGGTGGTCTCGGAGCAGGAAGCTGTTCTTTCCTGTAAAAACAGGAGAGAGGGGGCCCAGCAGAAACTGTCATGAAAATCCAATACATCAAATCACTTAGTGCTCTTCCCGAGCCCCTTGTTAATGCAGTGAGGCAGTGGTTAAACCATAAATACAAATAAATCAAATCCTTATACTAACAAAGGCATTTTTCTTGTAGAGGAGATGCATTCAAAAAATAACATTTTTATGATTGGTTTATGGATTAATGCACTTATTACTCCTAGAGGAAAGGCTGCATTCTATGCCAGACAATTGAATATAATGAATCTCTGAGCAGAGCACAGACAGAGGATTTACAGCAGGCATTTTCTCAAGGCATCATACATAAATTAGCTTCCTTCCCCCTGCCTGAGATAATCTGTTCCAAATTTCGACCACTGTTCATTTTCTATTCACAGCCGTCATTGGCCAAGCTTACAGTTTGTGGAAAGTTGAGCCAAAATAGGCACTTAAAACTCTGAAAGAGGTAAAAATGCATAAAATAATAACAAGCTCTTAAGTGTCACCATTCACTTATAGAGGTACACGGCTGTTTGCGTGTACCCCAATGATGTGCAAAGACACAGTTAAGAGGAATCTGCCGTGGATAATTTCTGGCACTGCCAGGAAAAGACTCCCACGTCTACTCCAAGCCCATCCCCAGCGCTATGCTGTCTCTCAAACCCAGCCCCGATATAATATGTTACTCTTTCTGTTTTATGAATATCTGTCAGATAATATTCAAGATCTTTCAACTAAATTGTTTCCTTCTTGAAGGAGAAACAGAGAATGCAGACAGCTCCTTTTTTGTCATCCTTCTGTTCATTTTCAAATGCAAAAAAAAAAAAGCCTGGTTTGGTAATGCGTCTCTGTGCTGAAGTCTTATCTGAAGTCAGGGGAATTAGACACTTAAATCCCTTTGGAGATCCAGATCAGTGTCTGTGACCACTGTCAGAGCAGAAAAAGGAGGCAACTCCAGGGCTGGATTTTTTGGCTTTCTTTCAGGGTCTATCAGGGACATTCTTTAGTTTTTTCTTAGCTCTTCTGCTTATTTTGCTTTGTTTGTATACTGGCACTTGAAGCTAGCTGATTGATTGCTTTGCATTCTCCTTCTTGCCCAAGAAGACTGCCACAGTCTTCGCTGTGGGATATTTTTCCTGATCCCACCCTATGGTGGTGCTTCCCATAGTTTCATTGCTTCAGCTGTATTGTTCCTACAGTTTCACTGTTTTGACATCAGCTTGATTTCATGTCCCTCAGCCTGCTGGAGTGAGCCTGAAATTCCATGTCCCTTCCTGCCACATTTTCTATTGCTATCTAGGCCCTTCCCCATTTGGATGGTGGTTACTTTGGATTGCATCCACAGGCAACCTAACTCCTGCCACATCCTGGATGGGATATCTCAGGGCAATTTACTTAGCCACGTGCAGCTTTTGAAAGCCTAGTGCAGCCTTGAAACTGTTTCTGAGTTGAGCTTTGGGAAGCAATGTGGATACTGATGTGGATACCTGTCCTTTTCTTGCAGACTGGGAGATGGCAAAAAAATTTGAAGAGCTTGAACAGGTGAGAGAAATACAGATGCATATATGCATTGTTGCATGAATAGTAGCTCAGCTAAACATGTATGTTGTCTTTGTATCTTTTTCTATCTTTACATCTGCCTGCTCTTCATTCTGGTGTTACAATGTAAGCACATAAAAAGGCATCAAAACTATCACTTAATGCAGTAATGGCTGAAACGCCTCTTGCCTCTGCCAGCAGTGACAGGCCAGAAAGGGCCAAGGCAGCAGAAAAGGGCTGTGAAGGAAATATCCATGGATGGAAAGGGTGAGAGAAGGATAGTTAATGCTTCCTTCCCCTACCTCAGCTGGGTGAATCCAATAATTATTTCAAATTAGAGGGACAGCCATTTCACCAGACAAAATCCCTACTGAAGGCCCTACCTCAGGGCCTACCTACCAGTCCTGCTGTGCCATGAGAGCACGCGCACACACCCACACGTGGACACACTCACACACGTGCACACACACACACGCACACACATGTAGATAAAAAGAGGAAGCCCTATCCCACATCAAGTTTCCAGGCCCAGGAACAGTCATGCAGGAACTTTGATATGGCTCCCAATATGTCCTAGTCTCCACAGGGAGTGGAAGCCCTTTTCACCTTCAGGCCAAATACAGGTGTTCACATAGATCCTGTAGGTTCTGCTGAATTCCACTCATGAGATTTCAAATTTAGTTGGGAAAACAACGACGATGAAACGTAACAGTGTGGCAGGCTAGATATGGTGAGCTCCCAGATCCTTCTCCACCCTCAAGCTAGGGCTGAGGGATATTTGATTGGGCTTCCTGGGAGTGATATTGCCAAAACATAAGTCTAGATGATGGTCATAGGCATTTCCAGTCCACTGGAAAAGATGCTGAAGGTTTTCCATCACTGGGACCAAGGGAAGCTAGCAAGAGCAGAGAGGGAAAGCAATAGGAGCCACAGTCTGGAGGAACAGAGGTGTGACACCCTGGGTCGCAGTGTCTGGATGCCTGGGGACCTCCCACCCTTGTGAAGAAGCACTAACTTGAATCTTAATGTACCATATCCTTCTGTGCAGCCTCTTTTCCAGAGGCGATTGGATTGCAGCAACAGGAAAGGGCAGAGAGTGCCCACATTGCTGTCACAAAACAAACAGCTAAGGGAAGCAGGAACCGTGGGGGCAAATGTGAGTGCTTCAAAGGCAGAGCCTTCTGGAAGGGCCCTTTTCCAGGGAAAAACCTGTCCTCCCCAGTGATGCTGCCAGCCACCTTGTCAGCGCAGCCTGCCCTGAATGGCACTGTGCTTTCCAGAAGGCCTCAGAGCTCCTCATGATGGGGCATTTGTTCACTACTGTATTTGTTTTTCAACAGCTGGAGAAGTTGAAGGATCAGCTCTCAGCTGAGGAGGGGTCAGAGGTGGCCTATGCTTTGGAAAGTCTGTCAGCATCTCAGCCTAAGAAACGCGGTAGGTTTTGAGTTAAAGTCTGCGGGTCTGGCTGGGTGCAGCCATCCAGCCAGGGCTTCTGTTGTCACATCTCCTGCTTCCACAGGCGGGCAGCATTTCTAGCAGTCCTAGTCCTCTCTTGCAAATGACTTACTGGCTTAGCAGCTGTTGAGAAGGTCTCTGTGTAACCAAACGCTGTCTGCTGTTGGGTCAGATCCACTGGAGCTGCAAATTCTGCCTCTGCAGGAGGCAGTTAGTGTTGCTCCCCTCTTTTCACAGAGGACCATGGGGTTATGTGGACAATGACTGCCTTTCCAGGAGGTGTATGAGCACATTTCTTCAGTGTGTCTCTCATTTTGCTCTGGTGCACAAAGCAAGAGCTCAGGGAATAATGAGGCAGTGGACTGCTCATTTTCCTTTCTTTCAAGGTCATTGCCTCCCTACAGAGGAAAAAAGAGCAATTGTTTATGCCTTTGAAGGAAAAAATAATAAAAACAAAACCAAACAGCAACAACAAAGGATGTGGAAATCAACCAAGTATGCAGGGAGCTAAGATCTTAATAGGTCCCCTAGTTGGTCCACTCTGCCAGCAAGGCAGGGTTGCTCATTGCCATACTGTCTCTGAGATTTGTTCACTCCGTTTTTAGTGTCTCAAAGAGCACATTGCAGTAGTGCTCCTGCAAGGCCGTCCTTGACAACCTCACGAACACTGCCAGTTACTGCTGACATCCAGGGGACTCCTTTGCAAAAAAGTCATAGCTGTAAAACAGAAGTCACTGATGATGAATCTGGACTAAAACCAAATGAGCTAGTTTTGTCCTCACCCCTGATGCTCTCTGCATGTGCAAAGGAAAAGTCCCCTTTGCATAAGTGCTTAGGTGATCCTTAGATGATCGGAAATTTATATGCAGTCCTGGAAGCTGCCATTGATTTGACTGGGCTGATTTATGGCCCTACCCATCTGGGGGGGTCCCAAAATGAATAAAACCACTTTCCACAATTAGATTTAAAGGATATTCTGCTAGAAAGCAGAGAATCTCTGCCTTAATCCAAAGACTTGCCAGTTTGGGAAAAGCTCATACCTGAGCTATTGAACTACTAAAAAATCAGTAGCTACTCGTTCTTTTATTATTATGATGAGCTCAGATCTCTCCAAGTCGGCACCCATCTCTTCCAGTCAAGCCCATGTGAGAAATCCTGTGCATACAACTGAGGCAGCAAAATTACTGACCAGTAAAGACAGAAAAAAAAAAAGATATTGCTAAAGCAAAGCAAAAGGAAAAGCAAATCCTTATAATACAATGGGAAATTGTTAGAAGTACCCTGGATACTAACATCCTCCTTTTGTATCCTTCCCTAGCCTGCTTCTGGAAATACTGCATCTGAAGGCTTGTTGGGACTGGAGAATGAAGACAAGCCCTTCCCCAAACTGCCTTGCTGGGTATTAATGTCTTAGAGTTTCTTCTGTTCTCTTGTTGTGCTGCTAACTCCGATGCATCCCCTGTAATTGCACCACATCCAAGTCTAATGGGGATTGTGACAGGAGCCAGTAGCCAACTACCCCTCACCACTGTTCCTTCCTTCCAGATTCAACCTTCCCTGATCTACTTGGCAGTGTTTCCCAACTTTCACTGCAGCCCTGTGTGTGCCATTTAGTCTGCTGGCAGCGTAAACTCTTCACTATCCCACGAGGTTCCCCAAGCGCCAAACATTAGTTTTGTTGCCCTGAACTTGCACAGACATTGCTCACGGTGGAGTTTTGGTTTCCTCTTTGCCTCCTAAAGGCAGGTCTGTGATGACCTACCACTGTCAGAACAGGAAGGCAAAGTGGGGATAACGTGGAAGTTCCAGGGCTGCCTGCCCTGGCTTGCTGAAACAGAGCCCCTTGTCACGTCCTGTCACTGTATGCAGTCAGTCTGGGAGAGGACAGGCACAGAAGTATGGGACCTTCGGATATCATTCCAATAAAGATTTTCTGTTGCACCAAAACACATGCTGTTTTT